GAACTTTACAGGGTAGTGTGCTTTTGTCAGACAAAGTTACTCTACTATCGATATTTTCAAACAATCAAGTATTCTTTTAGAGAAAAAAGCTGCTCTTTCTGACAGTTGAAGATAGTAGAAGTTTCAAAGATTATACCACACTATGCATGTCTATCCTAGAGATTTAAAATTGCCGGAAAAATTGGGTGCCGGAAAAAAACCTGTTTTTTTCCCGAAAAATTGAGGAAAAAAGGAAAAATTGAAATTTGTTATATACAAGATAAAAGTATTCTGGTTACTGATTTTTCAATTAATATAAATCAAACAGAAATAATTTGAATCAAAACCGCAAGCTACGGCTCTGAAGGATTTGTTCTCGGTAAATACCCGTCGATTTTCGGTGAATCCCCGACAACTACAGCTTTCGGTTAATTCCCGATCACGCACAGCGACACGGCATTTCGGTAAATCCCCATATTCCTGAATTGTTCAGTTGAGAATGAAATTCTTCAATATTGACACGTCTTGTTTATTTTAAAGCACGCATTTTAATTTAGCCTTATCATAAGCGCAGTAAATGAATAATACAAAGTGAAATTTTGCTGTAATACTAAGTGACATATAAATCCGAACACCCAGTTTAAATGATTTTATTTTAATAAAAGTTGGTGAATGTATTTATCTTACTGTAAATAACAAGTGAAAAAATTTTCAGCCTTATCAGTTGGACATTCCGGTTTTTATACTGCTTTTCTTTAATTCACTAACGCTCTAAAAATTAATATTTCAGCCGCAGTAAAGAATCAACGTTGGCGGATTTTGGTTCTTGACATCCTTTACGATCGGTTACGATGCCTAGAGTACGGAGACCTGTACGATTTCGTCAACTTAGTGAGTTTGATAGGGGCCGTATAGTCGGACTTCGGGAAGCTGGAGTTTCTTTTCGGGCAATTGCAGATAGAGTGCAAAGAAGTGTAGACACTGTGGTTAGGTGTTGTCAGGCATGGCTTCGAGAAGGCCGTACGCAAAGAGCAAGGGGCACTGGACGCCGCCGTAGAACAACAGACCGTGAAGATCGCCGCCTAAGATTATTGGCCTTAAGGGACCGTTTCTCCACTAACAGGTCCATTGCAAATGAATGGTTTGCTGAACACGGAAGACCTATTGGCATGCGAAGTGTTTACCGACGAATGAGAAGTTTTGGCTTGTTTTCGTACCGGCCACACTGGGTCCTCCCTTTAACTCGAGAACACCGACGTAATCGCCTTGAGTGGTGCAGACAACGGTCACTCTGGGATCAGGAATGGAACAGTATTGTCTTTAGTGACGAGTCTCGATTTTGTTTAGGCATGCACGATGGTCGTGCCAGGGTTAGAAGGCGACGTGGTGAAAGGAGGAATCCACAGTTTTTTGTTGAAAGACATATTCATCACACTGTTGGAGTTATGGTTTGGGGTGCTATAGCTTATGGTCCCAGAGAACCCCATCTTTTACCCTATCTTGACACCCTGGCAGATCCAACTTTCCGACAAGATAATGCCCGACCACATGTTGCAAGAGTCACAATAGACTTCTTTCAACATAATGATGTCACATTGTTACCATGGCCACCAAGATCTCCCGACTTATCCCCAATTGAGCACGTGTGGGATATGGTGGGTAGGAGATTGCTCAATTTGCAACGTCCTCCTCAGACTCTAGAAGCACTTCGAGAGGAGTTGGTGGTTGCCTGGAATGAGATACCACAGGAGAACATTGACCACCTGACCAGAAGCATGCCTAGGCGCGTTGGAGAATGCGTAGCACATCAGGGTGCATCCACACATTATTAAAGGTCAAAGGGCTTTAAAGCAGAGCAATCATTTTGAAATTTTTATCATTTACTTATTATGCTTCATTACGTACTTATACAAAATTTTATTAAAATAAAACCATTTAAACTGGGTGCGGATTTATATGTCACTTAGTATAATTGAGTTTGTTTGTTCTGAAGATTGTTAGTGTTGTTGACCCAAGTGTTTGTTTTGGTTTCTGGTAAGTGAATATTTTATTAAATTTGGACAGCTTTAAGTGTTTTGAAGGTGGGATTTCAGTTTCCTTCCATATTTTCCTTACTTTTCTTTATTACTAATATCAAGATTCAGTAATAATAATTATTATCTGTATACCCATTAAATTACAAGAATTTGATCAGTTGATAAAGTGCAGCAAGATATTTTATTTATGTATTTTTTTCTTGTTGCAGGACAATATGGTTCGACCTTCTTAAGATATTTTGCAATTATTTGATATTGAAAAAACAGATAAAAAATCCAAGGCTGTGTGTAAGTTTTGCTGTTTTAAATACGCCTTTCCAAACGCAACTCGCATGACGAATCATATATTAAACCAATGTTCAAAATGTCCTTTGGAAATTAAACAAAAATATGGCAATGAAATACAATCGAGATCGAAGTCTTCGACGTCAGAAGAAAAAGAAAGTAATAAAGATATCCTGCTAGATGCATTAGAAGATACCAGTCTCTCTTCAACTAGCAAAAAGGACACGTCATCAATGTCATCTTCCGAATCTCCATTACCATCAGTAAAACGCAAGAAAGCTAGATGCAAACAAACATTGAGCGGGTTTTTCGATAAGATAGCTGTTTCAGAGTCTTCTAAAATTGATGAGGCATTAGCTAGGGCTCTTTATGCTTCTGGTGCTCCTTTTTCTCTTTTCAAAAATAAATATTGGGAACAGGTTTTTAAAATGTTAAGACCGTCATACCAAATACCTAGCCCATACGCCCTGTCAACAAACTTACTTAATTCCGAGTATGAAAAGCTTTCTGAATCCGATAGTTTATCAATAGTAACAGATAGTTGGACAAACATAGTCGGAGATGGATTAATCAATATTGTTATATGCACGCCTAGACCTTTATTTTACAAAACTGTTCATCGTGGCACTGAAAAAGAAACGGGAACGTATAAGTAATGAACTTATCAAAGTTATTCAAGAAATAGGGCCACACAAATTTTTTTTTAATAGTGACTGACAATGCGAGCAATATGAAAGCTGCTTGGCATATTATAAATACAACATATCCTCATATGTCTTGTGTTGGTTGTGCAGCTCACACTCTGAATTTGATACTAAAGGACTTTATGAAAGAAAATTTGTTTGAAAAAATAAGTAAAGAGTCTAAAAAAATTTGTAAATATTTTAAACAGCACCACATATTTTATGCTGCATTTAAAGAAGCACAGGCCGAAAAATACCCAAAAAATAAAGTAATTTCCCTCAAATTACCTGCAAAAACAAGATGGGGTTCTCTGTTTATAACTGTTGATTCGCTTTTAAGAAATAAGGAAGCTCTGCAATGTGTATTAGTGGAAAACCTGAATGTAAAACAAAATATTATAAAAGTTGTATTGGATGATGCGTTCTGGCAAAACCTACAATATACCTGCATCCTGTATCAAAATCGATAAATTTAGTAGAATTGGATAGATCTATATTATCAGAAGTGCCTTTTGTCTTTAAGTATATAAAAGACACAATATTAGATATTCCCCAACAAGTTGACCTGACTAGTTCTCTAATCGAAAGCTTGCTAAAATATGTTGAAGAACGCTATGAATTTTGTTCTAAGCCGATTCACTTTGCAGCCAATCTTCTTGATGCTCGCTTTAAAGAACAATTGAATGAAGACCAACTAATGGAAGCAATAGACTTCATTTCTGAAATGGCTCGTTCACTAAATCTAGATGTAGGGAAGTTGGTGGCAAATCTAGCCCAATTTAGAACAAAAACTGGATTTTTTAGTCGAAATTCTTTATGGGATAGTGCGAATAGTATATGGTGGCAAGGCTTGTGTACATCGCAGCCACTTATGCCAATTGCCTCTCGAATTTTAAATGGACCGCCATCTTCCGCCTCTTCAGAAAGAAACTGGTCTTTACACGGCCTCATACATACAAGCAAAAGAAATAGATTATCACAGGATAAAATTCAGAAGCTGGTTGCTATTCATTCTAATTTGGTCATAAACGAAAAACAGACATTCATTTACGATGCTAGACCAGTTCCACTTTTAGCCAGTGTCTGCAAAGATTATGCTGTTTTGTCCGTCCATGAAGACGAAGCAAAGATCGAGTCTGAATCAGATGCTTGGTCTGAAGATTCAAACTCAGACTCAGATGAAAATATACCTCTGAGTGCTTTGGTTAAATAATGTGTTTTCTACCTTTCAAGCTTTGTTTTTGATACTTTCAATTATTAGATAATAATTATAATTGGACCCTATATATACATGTATAGTATTTATATCTTAGATATTAATAGATATTATTAAAGTATGATTTTTGTATTTATTTTTACAAAATATGTTTAAAAAACTTTAAAATTGGTACCTACCTATTTTTTACATTTCAAGTCACAATTAACAAATATTTAAATTTTCCCATTTTTTCCCATGGTCTGGAAAAAAAACGTGTTTTTTTTCATAATTTTTGCCGTTTTTTTTCCGATATGTTAAATCTCTAGTCTATCCACCAGAGGTTTATGGGTCGCTATTGATGAGCATATATTATAAAAATGACTTAGGAGGTACATTAATTCAATAGATTGCAAGAAACACAAATGTTATTCTTACACATTTTACAAAAACGAAAATTAAAATCGTTAGAATGAAAATGTGAAGATTAGGCAATATTCGCGCTTTGAATATAATGATTTTTTTTTCTTAACCGAGGTCTGAATCTTCTCAGAACATTGTCGAAAACTGCAATAGAATAGAGTTCCAGATTTGTATAATTCTGTATGCTTCAAAATATCTAAATACGAACTGGAAATATGAATATCTGCATCATGGATTCTGGAGGTAAATACTTCCAGAACTTCAATTTTGTTAAACTATTTTTTCAGAATCAGATATAGTAGAGGTATTTGGGGCACAAAGCTTCCTGAACAAATAAGTAAATGAAAAAAAGAACCATGCAACAATCTTCACAAATGATCAAAAAAAGAATATATGATAATGCAAAACTTCATCATAATGCCAGAATGCGGGTATTAGTGGTTATAAGTTACTGTAATTTCATAAACCACTGATCTAAACTCCAAACGAACGGAAGAGAAATCCAAAAACCATAAAGAGCCCCAACAGATCCAGAACCAACAAAAACAAGTTTGTAGGCATTAAAAGTTCAAACTGAAGAAAGGTTTGAAAAGTTATGACAACCTATCAGCCTGCATATTAATATTCATCAAACCAATATATTAAAACCGAACAGAGAGATACTTTCCGACTTTCCCCAACATATAGGTAATATCAATTTATTAAAAGTAAATTAGATCTTTTTAGTTACCTACGAAGCATTCGCTATAAAACAAAGTCACAAAGGGTGCTTTGAAAAGTGACAACTGACAACCTACCAACTGAATTATTTTAATTTTGCACGCGGCATACAATAAAAGATCGAGTGCAGTCAAAAACAGGTGCATCTTTGACAAAACTGCATATTCCTTATCAAGTATGCATCAAATTACTAATGTCTTGGATAAAAACAAATATTCTTTTACAATTCTCTGTAGTTCATAGCTTACATTACAAACTAGGATGTGGATACATAAAAATAAGTTGAAATAAGCACTTACGAAACATTCGTGATATCCTTAGACAGAAACAGCAAGAATCCAAAACCACCAACGTAAAATCCACAAGAACACAAGCGAACCAATCAAAACTAAAAAGTCACAACAGTTTCAGTCAAACAAAAAACTTCGCACGTCCAGTCGACGGACCGATCGCAAACGAAGGGCAAGACGCGAACTCACGACCAACTCTAGAAACGCACCGCGACTGATCTTGCTGCTATGCAACGCCGCCTTGGATGGCTCCTGGACGCTCACGCGACGTTGCCAGATTAGAAAATTTTTCTCCAAATATTGATCATTTTTGTGGCCTATCGGGAAATTATAGATATTTTTTTGGTAAAATAAGGCCTTGGGTATTATAAATTTAGTTTCAACCGTGTAATCATTTTAACTTTTATAGCTTACACTTTATTAGGATGGCATTTACGCCGCGAAAAGACGAACACGAGCTCTCGATTGAACTACTTGTGGTAAGTTCTTTTTGACATTATGTTGGCTTTTATGACTGTACGTAGGTTTTTTATGACATTATATAGGTTCTCCTACAAGACATTAACTTGGACTGGCTCTCGTTCACTTCATGTTCACTTGTAGCAAGCGCACACTAGCTTACTTAGTCTACAAGTTGACATTTTATCGGTGCTTTTGACATTATATAGGTTTTTTACGTGATAACACTACGTGTGCGGGCAGCACATTGTCCTCAGGGCTGGGGTGCTTCTGAGAGCGTGAGCTGACGATTAGAAAAAATAAAGAGACACGAAATATTGACCGACAATTTATGGACCTCAGCATCTGTATAAAGGACGGGTTATATTGGGAAACACCCCAAAATAATGACAAAACGATAAACGAACAATTGAGAAGTGAGGAAAGTGAGTAATATACCAGCGCGAGGATTACGTAAATACTATTTGAATAGCCTATGGCAGAAGTATCGTAGTGATAAACGTTATGGGTCTACTAATCAGATACCTTGCGCTACACGGCTTCCAACCCGCCCGAAAAAATGTTTTCTCTTGGTTATGGATATTATGAATGGTAGACCGTCTCTAACTGTCGAACGTCGAGGTACCACCCAGCGTATCTCTAAGGCGGGACCAGAATGTTGTGTGCACACGTGTGCCTTCGCCAAAGTCCGTGTGGAGTCCTCCCCTTTTCCCTGTATCCCCTTAGGCCTTCATAAAAGTGCCCCTATACGCCAAGCATGTTTTTAACTTTATTTATCATGTTTTTAAAAGTAGTGAAGTAAGAACACTTGAAGAACCTAACCTTTCGCAAATTTATTTTTTTCTATGGAATGTATTTTATATAACTATCTTTCTTGTAAACGTTTTCTACACCGTCTGAATAGAACATAACAGGCATACTTTATGTTAAAGGTATTTAATTCTTGCTGATTAGATTTTTCTTTGAAAAAAGCGTGTGGATTTGACGGGTTTTTCAACTTGCCCTGGGGGAATTCTATCTGACTCATCTGGCAACCCTGCGCTCGCTAGGCGACCGGCTACGCGGAGCATGCGCTGTTGCCGGACTCGCACATGGCGGCAGCTGCTGGCCGAGGCAGACGTTGCCACTCTTATCCTCCGCAGGGAGAATCTCTGATGCAAATTTTCTTAAGTTCCTGTTCCTAATTGACACCGCCCAAAGGCCAAGGATTTCGTTCTTCGATGAAAGACTTCTTCACAAATATGAAAATGTAAAAAACAGTTTTTTGTTACTAGCTGCTAGTAACCAACGCATCAAAACAAACCTGTCGCTTATATTCACTTGTCGCTGCCATGGCACTTATGGAACGCGCAAAATTGAACATCGCGCGATGTTTGATTAGAATGAGCTTTGAATACACTTTAGTTATTATTTACTGGACGCGATTTGTTGTGGAGGCTACAGAGGAAAAAGTTGGTCAAAAATTAGTCAGCCGCTGCCCACTTGAAAATCCCAGCACTACATTGACTTCGGATTCAGACTTTACGTACCAGGTTTACCCAGAAGAGAAGCTTCCGTCCAGATCATAGATGCGCAACGATTTTTGAAGCTTTCTTATTATTCGGTACCCAGGCCCAGGAAACGAGTTTGCATCCAGGTAACAGACACGCAAGGGTTTTTGGGAATACGCTTTTTCTGATAATTCTAATTCTTAACGATATCTTGATAACACGTCCATGAAGTTAGCTTCAGATTCAGATTCGATATCATAATTATGCTTCGCTATTCTCATATTGTCTCTCTTCCCACAAAAGGTTGCGATACACCCCTGTTAGAAATTGCGCACTAGACAAGGATTTTATCTGCAAAATTCACTTTATTGTTATTTGTATCTAACTTTTCCAAGGCATTCCTCTACCTTGTCCGTATAAAATCCGTCGTTTCCCTTCATTTCCTGTCATATAGGTACTCAATGTTGGCTTCCCATCTGAGATCATCGTCAATATCAAATATTGAGAGAATAAATTTTAATCTTTGCACCGATACATTATCACATTTTGGTGTTATCCACTGCCATATGTAAAGCTTTGTAATTACGCAAGTTGTTGGTATAAGAACTGAGAAAGATAAAGCTAGTTTTGCTGAAGGTAATTTTCAAAAGCGCGGACACATTTTGTGATGTTTGATGTATGTCTAATATGTGAAGAGAATTACGACGATAAATGGTTTAAAGTCAAAAAATTGAGATACCCAACAGCAGCCAATCCCAATTTTCAATATCTCCAAAAGTTCTTCTGAAATTGATCAGGCACCCCTGGAACGGTGAAAAAAAAAGAGATTTGTTCGATTTTTATTTTTATTTTTTTCGTATTTTGTCAGAAACCTCCACGCCACTGAACCGAGTTTAAAATCTACAAAGGTTTTCCGTCCTCAGCATGCTAGTAACCTTGTGTGAAAAATACTTCAAAATCCGAGCGATAACTTCAAAATTATAGACAGGCCAATGAGTTGCAAACAAACAGACAAATAGGCAGACCGACAGAAGTGATTGAGATGACTTTTCGTCATATAATACAAAAAAAAAGAATGTCTCATTTTCGAATGTTTTCGACATTACAGTACTTCTTCACCAGCTGCATGGAAAGTAAAAAATTGGCCTCGCCCAACGAATTCAAATATACTAAGTGACATATAAATCCGAACACCCAGTTTAAATGGTTTTATTTTAATAAAAGTTGGTGATTGTATTTATCTTACTGTAAATAACAAGTGAAAAAATTTTCAGCCTTATCAGTTTTTATACTGCTTTTTTTTAATTCACTAACGCTCTAAAAATGAATATTTCAGCCGCAGTAAAGAATCAACGTTGGCGGATTTTGGTTCTTGACACCCTTTACGATCGGTTACGATGCCTAGAGTACGGAGACCTGTACGATTTTGTCAACTTAGTGAGTTTGATAGGGGCCGTATAGTGGGACTTCGGGAAGCTTGACTTTCTTTTCGGGCAATTGCAGTTAGAGTGCAAAGAAGTGTAGACACTGTGGTTAGGTATTGTCAGGCATGGCTTCGAGAAGGCCGTACGCAAAGAGCAAGGGGCACTGGACGCCGCCGTAGAACAACAGACCGTGAAGATCGCCGCCTAAGATTATTGGCCTTAAGGGACCGTTTCTCCACCACCAGGTCCATTGCAAATGAATGGTTTGCAGAACACGGAAGACCTATTGGCATGCGAAGTGTTTACCGACGAATGAGAAGTTTTGGCTTGTCTTCATACCGGCCACACTGGGTCCTCCCTTTAACTCGAGAACACCGACGTAATCGCCTTGAGTGGTGCAGACAACGGTCACTCTGGGATCAGGAATGGAACAGTATTGTCTTTAGTGACGAGTCTCGATTTTGTTTAGGCATGCACGATGGTCGTGCCAGGGTTGAAAGGCGGCGTGGTGAAAGGAGGAATCCACAGTTTTTTGTTGAAAGACATGTTCATCACACTGTTGGAGTTATGGTTTGGGGTGCTATAGCTTATGGTTCCAGGTCACCTTTAATCTTCATCAGAGGTAACATGAACGCGCAGCGTTATATCCAGTTCTAGAACCCTATCTTGACACGATGGCAGATCCAACTTTCCAACAAGATAATGCCCGACCACATGTTGCAAGAGTCACAATAGACTTCTTTCAACATAATGATGTCACATTGTTACCATGGCCACCAAGATCTCCCGACTTATCCCCAATTGAGCACGTGTGGGATATGATGGATAGGAGATTGCTCAATTTGCAACGTCCTCCTCAGACTCTAGAAGCACTTCGAGAGGAGTTGGTGGTTGCCTGGAATGAGATACCACAGGAGGACATTGACCACCTGATCAGAAGCATGCCTAGGCGCGTTGGAGAATGCGTAGCACATCAGGGTGCATCCACACATTATTTATTAAAGGTCAAAGGGCTTTAAAGCAGTGCAATCATTTTGAAATTTTTATC